GTTTCCACCCATTGCTTCTTGTCCTGCCCTCAGGTGCTTTGGAGAATAGCTTGACTCCCTCTTCTTTGTGGCAACCCCTGAGATATTGGAAGGCTTCTATCGTGTCTCCCTTAGTCCTTCTTTCTATTAAACTAGACCTACCCAATTCCTGAAATCGTTCCTCATATGTTTTGGCCTCCAGTCCCCTAATCATCTTTGTTGCTCTTCTCTGCACTCTTTCTGGAGTCTCAACACCTTTTTTGATGACTGCAAGGTATATAAACCCTTCCACTCTCCACCATTCAGTGAGAACTGAGGAAGCTTCTTGGATGGGAAGCAAAATGCCTTCAAGGAAAAACAAAGAACGTCCAGTTGCCTTTGGAAAAAGCACTTTTGGACAACCATGACCTGGATGACTGAGAATCTTCATGGGCATCCAGGTCTACTGACACCATTGCATAGCACTTCCCATACCATGGAAAAAACGACAGATAGTCCTCGACTTACGACCAGTCATTTAGTGACTGTTTGAAGTTAAGATGGATCTACTGGGGGGGGGGGGAAATCTTACAACTGAGTTTCAAAGTTCCAACGGTTGCTTCCAAGTCACACACCCCACACTTTGGACACTCGCCAACTGGGGTGAATTTACAGCTGTTTGCAGTATCTTGCTATCACCTGACCATGTTTTACGATGCCTTTTGCAGGAGAAACACCATTTACTTCCAGTTTTTTGGCACAACCAAAGCATGGGTTCATTTATAACGACCGTGGTATTCATTTAACTGGAAAGAAGGTTGTAAAATTGGGGGTCTGACTTTTGAGATAGGCAAAAGATATTTTGAAGATATCTCAAAGATATTGAGATATTTGATGCCCAGGGTCATCAAACAAACAAACAATTATGCATACATATTTTGTTCTATTTTTGTTAAAAAGGAGAAGGAAGATATATGTTAAAATTAAATATGTATATTGAAAAGGAATTATAAATACCATCAACAAAAAATGGAGCTTGCTCAGAAGCTGAAATGCACCAAGTAAATGTGATGAAGAGTGTGGACTAGAGGAGAGAGGTAATGGAAGAAGAGAGGGATAGGAGAGAGGGCTGGGGGGGAGAGGAGAGAAAGGAGGAGTGGAAAGGGGAGAGAGAAGAGGAGAGAGGGAGAAGAAAATGATGGATAAGGTACAAATAGGGTGTATGGAGAGCAGAAGAGCCAATAATTGTTTTTGGGAGTGGATGGTAAGATGAATTAATGTAAACATTTAACAATACAATAGGATGTTGGCTATGTAATAGTATACAGGTGGTTATATGTTATGAAAATGAAAAAATTAAAAACTTTATAAAAAACAAACAAACAAGTTTTCAAAGCGCATGATGAGATGGGACAATTTGTGGATGGCTCAAAAACCCGAAACATCTTGAATGCAGGTAGTCTTCAACTTACAAACATTTGTTTAGTGACCATTTGAATTTACAATGGCGTCAAAAATGTGACATGTTCATTTTCGCACATGTTAAGACCATTACAGCATCCCCATGGTCATGTGATCAATTCAGACATTCTGGCAACTGTCTCATATTTATGACAGTTGCCGTGTCCCAGGGTCATGGGATCCACTTTTGCAACTTCCGACAAGCAAGGTCAAGGGGGAAAGCCAGACTTGCTTAACAGCCGTATCACTTAACAACGGTGGCAAGAAAGGTCGTAATATGAGGCAAAGCTTCCTTAACAAAGGTCTCGCTTAGCAGCAGAAATTTAGGGCTCGTCTGTGGTCTTAAGTTGAGGACTACCCATTCCTCTTAATGGGCAGCTCATATCTTCCAAATAAAATCTTGGACGCCTTTTCAACTGGGACACCATGGCCCATCAGCCCTCCCCCACGCCAATTCTCCCGACGTACCAATGCGATCCAGCCGATCCAGAGCAACGGTTTCGAACGCCCGCCTCATCATGGGGTATTCCTCTAGGACCTCATTAAAATTGTCCACTGAGAGGGAATACAAGCGGCAATAGGTATCCGCGCGGACACTCGCAGTTCGACGCCCTCTGGTCAGGAGGCAAATCTCTGGAGAAAAGATGAAAAAGCGAACTCAAACCCCAACACAGGATTCCTCCCTTAAGGATAGAAGAATATATAAATTCCTTGTAAGGTTAAACCCAACTTCTTCCTGTCCTTCACAAAGCCTACTTAGATATCTACTGGGTCCAATCTTGTCTTTTTTCCCCCCTTCAACTATTTCCAGTCAAGCTGGTTGCTATAAATTCCACAATTTTAAATACAGTTCTTTGCTTTTTCTTTCCTTCACCCAAAGATTAAAACATTATTTGGGCCTATTTTGTCTTCTGGACAGTTTGGGACCAACCTATCCCGACAGCCATTTTGGGGAGAGTCAAGTCTTCTGTGGCAGCCATTTTTAAAGCGAACCAAACTTATGTTCTCCAAATGCCAAAGGTACCTCATTTTAGGAAGGTGTTCTGACCTAGGCAGAGTCCTGGTCCCGACAAAATCCCTTTTATTAAACAAATGTGAATTCCTCTCATTCACATTCAGCAAGGCCTGGTAAACAGTCTTTCAAATCAATATTTATGACTACAGAACTTATCTATCTTGGAAAGCTGTCATGTAAATATTTTCCCAAATGAGGTGCTGTGCAAGGAAACATTGGGCACAGAGTCTCTGAGATTCACGGACAGGTCTTCACACTCCTGAAACAAACAAACTAAACGAATTGTTTCCTGCA